CTCTCTCTCTCTCTCTCTCTCTCTCTCTCTCTCTCTCTCTCTCTCTCTGTGTGTGTGTGTGTGTGTGTGTGTGTGTGTGTGTGTGTGTGTGCACGCTAAGTTATGGTGCCGGGCGCGGTCAACTACACCCCATTGCTACCTCTCACCCTCACTCGACGCTTGGTAGCACAAGACCGCAGCAGGTGCTGTGACCTCTTCCACTCGTCGCCGCTTGTCAGTATTGTGATGGTCAGCCATTTTGTCTGTGTTCATGTTGACCTGTGTGTAGTAATTGGCAACATAATGGCGAACAAATTGTTTGAAGATTGCACGTATGGGTGGTGAAGAGCTTTGGTGGAACACAGATTTCAAGCTGCAGGCAATCCTGTAGTGCCAATGTTGGTCGAACACTTTGATTGATTGGTTAATTTGCTCGCTTGGGCTGAATGTGACAATGTGACATGCCTTTCATCCCTCGCAGGTGGTTTTCATGTGTACAGCAGTTTTCATAAGACATTGCTTCAACATCATCTGGAGAAGCGCATGGGAGCGTCACATACCTGGCATACATTCATTGGCCCCCTTCGTTGCCTAGACCAAGGGCCACAGTGCGCTCTAACCACACTGATGCCATATGCATGGTGGGATGCGCCCCTACAGTCGGCAAGTGGTCGTCATTTGCACCAATTTCACACTGAGGGGATTATGATTGGTGTCGACGGCGAATTGTCCCCACATTTAGTCCGGGACTATTGCTCCACGAGACCCTTCATTGGATTCAAGGATCGGATTTTGGCAGTGCCTTCCACCATAGCCAACGAGGATAAATGACAATAGATTGAATAGAGGGCTACATTCATGCGGTTGACATACCAAACATGAATCTATAGATTCTATACGCCTCATCCTTGGCTATGGCGCCTTCCATCATAGCCATACCCAAGTGGTCGTTGTCTCGACCATAGCTATAGCTATGGTGCCTTCCACCGTAGCCATCTTGGCTATGGTGCCTTCCACCAATCACAATAGAGGGCTACATTCATATGTTTGACGTCATCCTCATGGGAAGGGCTCTGTTCTGTTGCTTTCTCAAGGACAGAAAGTTAACACATTTCACATGCTGGTAAGCCTTTCTTGTCCACACCCACCCCTTGTGGCAGTGCTTTACACCATAGCCAAGGTCCACCATAGCCAAGGAGGATGAGTGACAATGGAGGGCTACATTCGTGCAGCTGCCATACCAAACTCTGTGCCGGTTGTTGTTCTCAAGAACAGAAAAATGCACATGTTTCACATGCAGGTTATCATCTTTTCGTGTCCACTGCCAACCCGCAGTCATCGGAAAGATTCTGAAGATCTTTCTCTTTTGTAATCAATCTCAATTTCAAGCGGACGGTAGTGATCTGACCATCCTTTCTTCTCTTTTTTCTTTTTTTCTTTTTTTTTTCTTTTTTTTTTTTTCTTTTTTTTTCTTTTTTTTTTAACAAGGCCCCTTCTATTCTGGGAATCTGGGGGGCAACAGTCGCTGGTTGCTTGTTATCGGCAAGCATGTTTGTACAATGTACATCCAAGGAAGGGGGGAGATCAGATCAGAGAAGGGCAACAGTCTAACCCTTGTGGCATTAGTCGACTAGCAAGAGGGAAGCTGCATCCTTTATCATTTCTTCTTTTTTCTTTCTTTTGGAACTGACAGGTATTTTATTCTGTTCATCTGATCACATCTTGGTTCGAACCTGGGTCTGTATTTCAGCAGTTGGATGAACCCAGGTTCGAACCAATCAGGTCGACAGTCTAGGTACTATCTCTGTCACATGTGCTCCGTTACCCAACCAGAGCACACTGCCAGATTCACCCGTTCACGACGGGAAGCAGGCGATCTTAGTAACGAGGAAGGTAATCATGGCTTGATGAAGAAGACGACCGGCGACCATCGGAGAAGATCACCACGACTAAGGTAAGTTTTCCCTCCATTGCTCTACTCCCTTTCTTTTTTTCTTATTCTTCTCCTCCTCTTATTCTTCCTCTTCTCCCACGCATGTTTTCTTTCTGTCATGCGCATGTTTTGTTTTTCCCGCCCTTGCACTCGCTTCCAGCCCACACTTCCTTCTCCAAGCGATCTACCTTTTGCTCCTCAGCACGCTCTCCCTGCGCTCCCACCTTCTCCTCCTTTGCAATGTTCCTTCTCTGATGCTTTTCTTCTCCTTCCCGCGATGCTGTTTCTCCTTGCCCACCATGCTATTTCTCCTACCCCCGCACTACTTTCTTCCGCTTGATTTCTCTTTCACTATCTGTCAATCTTTCTTTCCCCCGCTGTTTCCCTTTTTACCGCGTTCATTTCCTTGTACGTACATAGCCGAATTCTTGCTAAGATGAAATCGCTATAATAATAATAATAATAATAATAATAATAATCCCTATACTACTAAAGGAAACAGCAGTCCTCGCGTGGGTCCCAACAGAAACCGAGCGGCACCGCACGGGACAGGTGAGGGGCAGCGGGTAAGGGGGAACTGGTGGAACCCGGGGCGAGGGGCGGAAAAATCCCGGTGCGCGCGGGCAGAAGAGGAGTCGGTCCGGCCTTGGACGAACCGGGTCGTCTTCTGCTCGCTTGGAGTGGGATTTGTCGGATGCGAGGAGTCCGGGGCTGAAGCGACGTGACAGGCGGGGCAAAGCGGTAAGTGGGATTGCATGAATTCACTAGTGGTAAGGCGAAGGGGGGGGTGGCGTC